CCCCCTGCCTGGCGCACTCCTGGCAGCATATGGAAGCTGTTTCTGTTTATCTAGTGGCTCCAGGACGCTGCTGCGTGCTGGGCTCCAGCGAGCGGAAACACTGGATTCTCTGCAGGGCCCTTTTGGAGGCTCCACACAGGGCAGCCAGCTGTTTGCTGAGAGCCTGGGCCTGTTACATCAGCGGAGGGGCGAGGCCATCTGTGCAGGCAGGTCACCCTGGCCGCCTGCTCTGCGTGCAGCTGCCTGTGTTCTGGGTCGGTGGGGGAGGGTGTCGCAGCTCCGTGCTGTCAGCTCAGCGCTTTCTTCCTTTCCGCTGTCCTCCCTGGCCGAAGGCTCACCTCCTTGGGCTGACTGCCAAGCTCGAGGAGGGAGGATCAGGGGCAGGGGCCTCCTGGATCCTCAGTGGCTGTGGTTTGGCCTGAGGGCCGTGCCAGTCTGCCAGCCTGGGTTTCATAGAGCGCTCTGCCTGGGCACAGCAAGTACAGAGCGCGCTGTTCCCCTCGTGGGGCACCTCAGGCCCAGTGCTCTTCCTGGTTGCCAGGAATGTTCTAGTGGCATCCTGCGGCCTTCCAAAGCCTCCCGTGGAGACGCTCCCTGCTGCGAGGGCCTAGAGGCCACTTCTCCCTCTGGCCATGGGCATCCTCTGTCCTTCCTTCTGAGTTTCCAGCCCAGCCACCTTCCAGACCAGGCAGAAATGCAGAGGCAGGGGCTTCCTGCCCTGCTCCTGACCGAGGCTGTGGAGGCCCGCCCTGTGGTGAGGTCGGGCCTGTTCCTCCGGCTGGGCCCTTACGGTATGCTCCTCACCTCGCAGGTCACCTGGAAGCACTGTCCTGGCAAGGACTAGGTCAGAGAAGTCCTACGGGGTTGACTCTGACCTGGCCTCCACTAGTCCCCACCCGAGAGGCTTGTTCCAGCCCACAGGGTGGAGCTAGTAGGGTGGTGGGGTGTGAGCCCCCGATATTTGCCTGGTGACCTTGGAGCCTGTGTTTCTCCAGGAAATGCAGAAGCAAGCTCCAAGCTCCATGGGCAGGAGGATGCCAGGGCAGGGTCGCAGGGCAGCGCCAGGGTCTGCACAGCACAGGCAGAGGACCTGGAGCGACTGACTGGGCCTTCTGTGCCATCGGACAGATTGTCCTCTGGTCCTCACGCCTGGTGGTAACCCGTCAGAGCCATGGGGAGTGCTACTCGGAGGACACGGAGGCCTGGCCTGGGAGCAGTCCTGGGAGCAGGACTCACTCCTGCAGCAGTGCCCCACCTAACTGCCCAGGCCCATGTGGGGTCCCACCCATCTAGCATTCCCCTGGCCTCCCCCCTCTGCGGCTTCTGCACCACCCTCGGCTCCTGCCCCAACCTCAGCTGCCCTTGCCCCTGGGAAGCTGCTGAGACCCTGGGCGGTTGGGGAGTTTCCATCTCCTTTTGGCACTTCGTGGCCTGGGAAGCGGAGCAGGGAATGGAGCCCCGCGGGTGGTGGCTCTGCCTCCGCAGCCTAGGAAGTGCTTTGGGACCTGGCTGTTGTAGAAGGAATGGGGGGGGGCGGCCCCTGTCTGTGCTGAACCCTCTCTGTAATCCCTAAATGTGCCGTCAGCCACAGGCACCAGGTGAAGAAGCCTTTTCCACATCACCTGGGGCTTCCTTGAAAAACCCCTCAGCCATGTGGCCCAGGCCTGTCAGCCTCATGTGTGAGAGTCACAAACAAGCCAACTGGCTTTGCCTTTCCGGGGCTGGAGAGCTTGCTGGCTCTATTTTGGGGCAGTGCAAGGAGGCCTGTGGCTGGAAGCAGGAACAAAGTCCTGGAGGGAGCCCTGC